TAAGTACATTTTAAACCCACAAAGTTTGAGTGTGTTTGAAATGTACTCAAATATTTCCTTCTTCACCATTGTGTCCTCATGACCCATTGAATCATCAAAGGCTTGGAGATGAAAGAAGGACTTATGGTTAGAAAATGCAAAGGACTCTCTGCTGAAGGGGGAATGGTTTGTTGTATTTTCTTCTTTTTTTTTTTTAATCCCAGAACAAATAGCTCTGGTGGATAATTTTCTGTGAGGGTTTTCACTGTAATGAGTAACTGGGCTTCCAGAAATAATATTATGAATACAGTAAATAAGCTCACAATCAAAAAAACCCACAGAAATCAATTCCAAAATCCCCGTAGTGTTTCACGAGCTTTGAGTCACACTTAGGGCGGAAAATTGCCCAAACCAGTAGCCTGTAGGGAATCAAGAGAGAACATGGTCCTTTCAGATAATGTTAGTGATGACTTTCCTTCAGGGTTTTTTCTACATATGGTAACATAAGACCTGTTACCATATTCAGCTGAAGACACCTCATACACCTGAACACCTTCTAGTGGCCTAAGATGGCATTGACAGGTCAAATGCACCTATGGTATAATTCAACTGAGCCAAATGAGGATTTACTGAGCTGGCACAAGTGTCTAATCTTTGTATTTGCTGTAAGAGGTTTTTACCTTTTCAGAAATGGCTGTAATTTATTTTGGAGATTAATAAGTTTCCACCAGGTCAGAGTGAATCCATTGAAAAAGGACACCTGAGGACCCTTAAGCCTTTCTCTCCCACAAGATGGGTATGGAGGTGGAACTGCCCACCCTGTAGAGGCTTCATTGATTAAATATGAACTTCACATAAGAATGTATTATTTTCAACCTCAGAAATATTTACCAAAAAATCAGGGATCACGATCTACTGGACAAAAGGAAAACAGTCACAGCCCTAAAAGCTGGAGAAGACCGGGCCATACTCCTCGGGCTGGCCATGATGGTGTGCTCTATCATGATGTACTTTCTCCTGGGGATCACTCTGCTGCGCTCCTACATGCAAAGGTAATTTCGTGATGGTCCCTGATCTCACTCTCCCTGCTCCAGCTGACTTCATGTGGCTTACTCTTTTGACTCTTTTTATTAAAGTTTTATAATTTTTCCTTTGGTCAACATAGGCCTGGCTGCTCTTCCTTACCTTACCCCAGTATAAATTAGGCACAGCCACGGTGAAAGCAATTCGAGTAATACCAGCAGAAAGTGAGGGAAGAATTAGATCCCTGTTTGACAAAATCTTGATCCACAGGCTTTAGACTTGGCACGGCTTAACACTAGTATAATATCCATATCAGCTGCTCGGCAGTCTGCTGAACCCTATAAGCTTCTCAGGGGCTGTTGCTGCAAAGCCCAAACTCAGGACAAAAAGGCAAAAATATTTCACAGCCTCGAGAAACAACACACTTTCAAATGAAGGATGTAGAATTAATTTGGGAAGGAAATCAAGCTCTTTGTAGCCTGTAGTTTTACATGTAGGTTATTACTTTCATCTTAACAAGTGAAATTCTCATGAAATATAGTAATTTGCTGAAAGTGAAAGATCATCTTTCATCATTACTGTCCTGCACTTAATTTTTCTGAGGCTTTCTGTGGCTTCCTCCTCTGCCACCGAGCAGAGGGTTTGGCCTGTGATTCATTAGCAGCATTTGAAATCAGTTTTCAAGCACCAGTCCTATTTAAAACCCAGCCCAGACTGTAATAAGGCTGTCAGTGATGTTTTTACTGCCCTGATTGGTGGAGTTAGGAAAATGAAAAATGTGTTACTGGGGATCAAAATATTAGTCAGTCATGCCCCAAACTACCCTGGGGCAGTGGCCAATATCTGGCACATTTTGGCTTATCCACCACAGGCTTCTATAGAGTAAGTGCCCACAGTTAATTGGTATGAACATCCTCAATTATACTGGTGCACCTGCAAGGGAATATTCCTTCTTGACCCTGCAATGATAAGAAATAAGTAGCGACGAGGATGAGCTGTACTAATTTGCAGCATTTTATTTATGTGATAAAGTTATTTGTCCATTTTCAAGTCCAGACAAAATTCAGATTTTGAAAACTAAGGTCAAGACCTGTTAAGTATCCAAGAGCATTTGCTATTCCAAATTGCTCTCCCAGACCTTTCAGCAATATCAGGGTCAATTGCAGAGGCTGCTAAGGTCAAAATCACTCATGTGGAAAGAGATGATTTATATTACAAGCTATGTGAAAAAATTGCCAGAAGATATCAAAGCACCTACAGATTATCAAATATTCCATCTTCACAAGTGTGTGGTAGGTAGGTGTTACTTTATTACCCCCTTGCATGAATAAAACAGCAGCCAGAAAGGTGAAAGTGAGGAGAAGACAACCCGGGAGTCTTTGCTGTCACTTCTCTTCACACAGCCAGATCTCCTCAGGGGTTATTCTCCTTTACAGCAATACCCCTCCAACAAATACTGCCCAGGAGGGGAGAAAAAAATCCTTCCACTTGATTTCCCCTCAGAAATCATAGCATAATTTAATATAAATGTAAAATGGAATACACAAGCAGAATTACTGCCAAAGAAAGATAGCAATAGTTAGTCAGAAATCTTTGATACCTCTAACTGTGTAAAGCCTTTTGTAGGTTTGGTGAGGGGCAAGCAGACCCTCAGCCCTTTCGTGGTGGGGCAGGACAGCCACACTGTGGGTGAGCTGAGGGACTGACTAGGGTTAAAGGGAAACCCTGGATGAAACCTTCCCCCAGCCCATAAAAGGCTTTCTGCAGAGCCCTCAATGTGCCCTTTCCCCAAGGAAAATGCAGCAGTAGATTTTTAAATACATGCCAGATACCCAAGTGAACATTGCTGGTGCACACCCAGGCTCCATCGTTGCAGTTTTAGCCTCTGGTGAATTGGAGATAAGGTGAAATCCCCCAGAATGATTACAACCATTGGCTTAACTTACAGAAAACAGCAAGCTGCCACTAGAAAAAGCTTTTCCATAGGTCAAGCTGCATGGGGTACCACTTGTGAGTTACTGTGTCTTCATGCATATGAGTATACATAGCCTGGTAATTCAAAATTATCCTCCCGGACTTCACTTTAAATTGATCTGGACTTGGTGGTTAACCCTCAAGTCTTGGCCCAGGGTGTCTTGTCATGCAGCACTGTGTGCACTGTGCTCTCCCCAGGCCAAGTTTTCTGCTCAGTTTTCTTCTATCTCTCTGCTGACACGCTTTCAAATACACCTTCTTCAGAATCAAAGTTGCAGTTCCCTTTTCATTTATACACAGACACAGGCGAATAGGGTAATTTTGTACCCAAAGCCTGAAGTCTGGGTGCTACAGAATAAAACACTGTCTGTGATGTGTGAAGCAAGACAGTCCAGGCTTTGCTCAGAGCCCTGCCACATGTACCCTCTCCTACAAGATGTCCCCAGTATATCCCTGATGAGAAGCCTGAGATGTGTTTAGTGCTTATTACCCATTCTTGCCATGCTCTAATATCTCTTTTTTTCCTACTTAGTGTCTGGACAGAAGAGACTCAGTGCTCACTTCTCAATGCATCCATCACAGAAACCTTCAACTGCTCATTTAACTGCGGCCCAGACTGCTGGAAAATCTCTCAGTACCCCTGCCTCCAGGTGTACGTTAATCTCACCTCTTCTGGCCAGAAGCTCCTACTCTACCACACTGAGGAAACAATGAAAATTAATTCTGAGGTAGGAGCACAGAATAAAATTTCTTCCTAAGTGGGTTTCTGGAGGGCTGCTCAACAGCACACGTGTCCCCACCTCCATCTCTGGTGACAAACTCGGCACCCTGAGCGTCTCCACTGAGGTCAGCTGTGCCACTGCTGATGGTGTAAAGATCCTAAAAGTTTGCTGAGTGGGGACTAACGAGATAAAAGCAGCAGCATGAAAATAAAAGGCCTGGCTTTGGGGTGTGAACAAGCTAAGGAGTCAGCCCATTTTATAGCACAACTTCCCCGGTTCCAGACGTTGAACCGAAAAAATTATTTTGAACAAATCTGCAGAAGAATTCACCTCTCTGCTTCAGCAAGTACAAATTCCAGCTTAACTCCATCCAGGTGGGATGGAGACAGCTCCTGTCTGGAGGCTGTAATGAGGCAGCAGATGCACAGAAGACACCTCCCCGCCAGCCTCAGCCACAGCTGTGTGGCTGACGCAGGGCTGTGGATCACACCCAGGAGAGAGGCCGCCTTCACAGGTGGCTCTTTGCTCCTTCCACAAAGCAAGGCAGAATTGGACTAAGAAATGTCTCACTCCCCACTTTCCTTTCTTCATATCTACAGTGCCTGGGTCCCCAGGACTGCAAGTTGCCATGAGCTGGGACACAGTGAAATCATTAGACTTACAGGTGCCAGATTTGCATTAACTGCTCAGTTATCCAAGGTCACTGAACCCCAAACTATGGGCAAAGTGCAGCCTGGAACAGCAGAGCCCCAGTTCAGCCTGCTGGCAATGTAACCTATTGTGTTTCTATTTATGGCAGTCAGTCAGTAGACCAAATTACTTCTGCATATTAAGATGAAGTGATATTAAAATTAGTCAAAGCACGGCATGGTTGCACTAGGCTGCTTATTCTGCTGGATAATTAACTGCTGTGGCTGAGAGATGGAGTCCTCTGGATGTGAAGTGTGAAATGGAGAAGAGTGCCCCTTCCTTCCCCTCTTCTCTGGCATCAGTTCAGGAAGAGGCACTCACTGCCTGTGAAGCCTGAGGCAGGACACACCCCACTTTCTGCTGGGCACAAGCAAAATCATGACACTCACGCTGCAGGTTGGTTAGGACAGATCAGATAAATCTCTGTGCTTCGCTGATTCAAATAAATCAAGAGATTTGGCATAAATCTCCACATTCTGCTATTGATGATTTTTGCTTGCTGAAATGGACTTTGAAATTCTCCCATATGCCACCTTCTCTTAATTTAATGTAGGCACAGTTAATACTTCTCCAGACCAAGGTTGTTTTACAGGTTAATCTCTGCTCTCAGGAGGATTCCTAGGTTTTCCTGACATGCTGCTGGCTATGTGACCTGAATCCAAATGCAGTTTTGAATGGAAGTTTGCAAAAATAAAATACCTGGCTTCTTGTGCCTGGCTCAGATCAGCAGAGTTTCCAAGTTCAGATCAGCGCAACCCATCTCAGCATCCTGGACAGGAGCTCCCTCTTCCCTGGCCAGAGAACATCCCCATGCAGCAGGATGAGCAGTCCTGAGCAGCACTGGGTGGCGATGCTCCAATTGGGTGCTAGCTCTGTCTTTCCATCCACCTGCTCAGATCTGTGTTGCCCATTTTTCTCCTTGCTAAATAAACAAAATACAAAAGCCATCCCTGGCTCACTGAGCTCTGACATCACTGGAGATGTTGCAGAGCACAGTTCTTACCCTCTGAGGCCAACAACAGTGACCTTCAAAAGGTCAGCACCCCCTCAGCAACCTCTCTGCCTCACTGAGCACCACCACACACACACAGCAGCAGCTGGTGCCTGCCTCTCTCCTTTCCCCGCAGTCAACGTGGATGGAGCAAAATCCACTTTGATTTTAAATAATGATTTATCCAGGAGGCTTGCTGTCTAACCTGGCTGTCAGCTCAGAAGGTGCAGTAAGGAGTAGGTGCAATTTATATTGAGATCTACAGCACACTGCTGCCAGTCTCTGGTGGGAATCAGTGGGAAGTCTGTGGATTCCTGTCAAGCTGCTCGAGTCTGTCCAAGAAAAGCTCAAGAGATTTTTCATGGCTTTTCATTGCTCTTGCTGTGCATACTTTAGCCTTTAGGACAAGCCCAGCCCCTTGTCAATACTACAGACAAAATGGTTTAAATGCTTCCATGGCTACACTTTCCTTCTTCAGCTGCCAGAGGCTGTAACAGAGAGGTAAATCGGCCAGTGTCTCCTCCTGCCCACACCACAGAGCCAGGCTGTCCCCATGAGGAAGGGCTGTGGTAGTTAAAGCAATTAGAGAGGCCTCATTTTGATCTCATGTTATATCATTTTGATTCTTTTCGTGTCATCGGAGCTGCTGCTGATTTATATCTATGCTCCATAAGGGAGATAACAAGCAGGATTTAATCACCAGAATCAGCTGTAACTGCCTGAGACTCAGAAATGATGGTGGTTCTCAGGGTTTCTCACTGAAGGTTCAGGTATTTATAACCCAGGAGGGAGTTTGCCTGTTGCAGGGAGGGGGAGCAGAGGAGCTTGGCTGTGGATTCCAGTAGACCCATGTCTAGGCTGGGACTGGAGAATTCTGTCTGGAGTAATCAATACCAGGCCAATGCAGAAATGAAGCTGCTCCAACCCTTGGTCCAAACCTGTTGCACTTTCCAAAATAGATGTAAATTGACATCCTGACCACCTTCTCACAAAGATTTCCACAGCATATCCTGTCTGAGTTTCCAGGCTCAGCAAGGACACCAGTCCCAACCACAGATGTATGACAAGAGTCATGTATTTCACTGCCCAGCCTCAACTGGGAGCTTTTCTGGCAACAGCTTTTTCAATGTAACATCATTGATTTAAAGAAAACTGCCTCAAGCTTGCCTGGAGAAGTTGTGTGATCTTTGTCCTTGGAGATATTCATAATCTGACTGGACAAGTCCCTGAGCAAATCTGCACTGAGCAGGGCATTGGACTGGATGTGTCCAGAGGTAGTTCAGACAGGATACCTATCCAATCCTTTATATTGAGGAAGTAGAGTTGGAAATTTAGTAAGTTCTGTTTCTCTGGTAGGTCCTTCTTGTGCTCGGATTGCAGGTAACACAAGAACCACTTTTGTCACTTTGTATGACAGAACCCTCACTTGAGGTAGAGCACCAGACATTCTTTACTTGCAGATTTCCAAGTGTTTGACAATGCAGAAGTGTAATAAACCAGCACAGATTCAGTAGTCTACATTCACAGGTGCAGCATAAAAATTGTGGATATAAAATTCCCTGCCAGGCATTGGAGAAAACTATTGAAGATCAAAACAAAGAAAACATCAACACATCCCATTATTGTGTCTTCTTTCTCGTTTATTAATCACCATGAAACACAGCAGACACCATCATGGCAGAGCCTTGGTGCTCTCAAAATTGTGTTTTGGCAAAAGTGGCCAAGTCCTCATTTAATTGCCTCCCTTAGGATACTTCATGGGACTTCCAGAAACAAAAATGTATAGCAACAAAATAACAAGAAAAAAACCTCAACAAAACCCCATTTGAAGATGAAATACTGCTGTTATGACAGTGATAGCACATAATCTATTAAAAGAAAATGAGATATGCTTCACTGAGAAATTTCCCCTACATGGTAGATTATGATGTGTTGAAGAGTCATGGGCACTGCAAGAGGGCTTGTGACTTTGGACATTTGAGGCAAAACTGGTCAGAGCACAAGAGAATATCCTGGATGGAGCAGACATGCACCAGCAGGAAGATGGATGAGATATTGCTGCTCTGATATTTTCCATCGCTAATTTCTAGAGCTCCATGAAATATTCATAATGGCAGTGCAGCCATGCTCTGCCATTAATGCTCCAGTCTGCTAACGCCAGACAATCTTTCTGCTGTGCTTCAAATCATATTCTGTGCTAATAACTTGCCAATGAATCAATCAAATCCTGTTATGAGGTTAATCCTTTGATCATAATTAGGACTGGAGATTTGTCACAGTATGTTACAAAAAAAGTCACAGCAGAGTCATGAAAAAGAACAAAGGGACATTTTATAAAGTGTGCACATTATAACAATAATAATCAAAAGCCATGGGTCACATTATTGTAATAAAAACATATTTTTTCCTTTAGAAAACTAACTTTCTCATTAAATTATCTGGAGCTACTTTAGGTGCTCACCAGGACAAGCAGGTTTGGCAGTGCAGGCAGGAGCATGGTGGGACCCACTGTCACCTCATAACTACGAGGGAGCAGTGACCTGCTGCCCCCCACCATGCATGTTAAAAAGTCAAGTAGCAGCAGATTTCCACCCTTCCTGAAGCAGTTAATCAAAATCCTGTGGAGGTGTAGAAAACCATCAGGTTTGGAGGGGTGTAAGTGCATGAATGAGAGGAGGAGTGAGGGACCCTGGGCTGCTCCCGTCAATCTTCCAGACCAGCAGCAGCAACAGCAAGTTCAGGGGTTTCTGCTCTAGTTAAAAAATGGTCCAGATGTGGCCTCAACCCTTGTGTGTCTGCCCACCACCTCACCAGCCCACACTAGCTCTTTGCAGGGAATGGTCAGCGCAGCCCAGGGCTACTGTCATACACGTTCTTCAATGCATGGACTCCATAAGGTAGTTTTTTTAATTAACTTGCCTTTAGTGTTCTCTGGAACTATCCTCTGTGCTAGGTAGAGCCACCCCCAAATCTTTTTTTCCTTTGTGACTGAGACTGAAATTCAAGGAGTATCTTCAGAGAGAAGGAACTGTTGGACTTATTCTGGGGTCAAGAGCAAAAACAACACAGAGAACCATCCTGGTACGCAGGCTGATCTTCAGCTAAAGGCTGAATGAAAGTCCTCTGGGCTGTCAGGAGGAAAACTACATTTTCTCCTGGGCTATCTATTTGTCTCTAGTAGAGGCATTTGTCCTGTGGGAAAATTTGTATAAAGGTCTCTCATCATCTCTCTCCTGTGTGAGTGAACTCCTGTGCCCACTGTGATCGCTTTGATCTGAGCCAAGTGAGATCTAAACTACCAGATTTGTATTTACAGAGTCAATTACCCATCTAACTGCGAGCATATGTGTGCCACTTAAGATGAAGAGGTACTTCATCAGTTCTATTTTTGCATGTGTAAATTAGTAATAATAATATATTCACCTATCTCACAAGGCACTGTGCAGATTAAAGCATTAACGTTTGAACAGCACTTGGAGGTTCTCCAATGGGAAATTCTGTAGATGTGCAAAATATTGAGTTTTGCTGTGATAAATTTATTATTAGCGTAATAGTATTCCACTCTTGTCATGAAAAGCATAATCATCTTGAGATTTTCCTGCTTGCCACCTGAAAACAGACACTGACTGATTTAGAAATGTATTTTTCTCCCTCTGATTTCTTCCCAGTGTTCTTACATCCCCAAGTGCGGGAAGAATTATGAGGAGTCCATGTCTCTGGTGAATGTCGTGATGGAAAACTTCAGGAAGTACCAACGTTTCTCCTGTTTCTACGACCCCGAGGGCGTTCAGAAGAACGTGATATTAACCAAACTGTACAGCTCCAATGTGCTGTTCCACTCCCTGTTCTGGCCCACCTGCATGATGATCGGCGGGGTCGCCATCGTCGCGATGGTAAAGCTGACTCAGTACCTTTCCCTCCTCTGTGAGAGAATCCAAAGGATCAACAGATAGGAATGAAAACTTCTCTGAAATTTAACTACAGCGAAAAAATACTGTTTTCTCATTCTTCACCAAAGAACCTTAAGTTTGTAATGTGCAAGTCTGTTATAAGTTCCTTACGATATTCTTATAAGTAGAGCAATAATGCAAAAGCTGTTCTATATGCAAACATGATGTTATTATTATGCAGACAACTGAAGAAGTTACTGTTTTGTGTTGACCGTCTATATGATCTTGTTTTATGCTGGGACTAGTAATTCTTTCTTTTCTACAGCCAAAATAGGGCTCAGTGTGACAATTTGCCAAGCTTAGTCAATTGACGTTTTCAATGTAAAGAATTCTGGGGAAAATTCACCACTGGACAAAGGGCAGCCAATCACTTGTGCATCATTGAGGTCTCACATCCAGCTTGGTCCATTGAAAGGATTTATGGCTTTGGCTTTTTTATTAATGGCCGCAGGGGGGAAAAAAGCACTGATAAAGGGGAGGTTTTTTGTGGTAAGATGGCACAAAAAGGATGTATACTGAGGCCAAGATAAGTGTACAGTATTTTCAGCCTCAGCAGGACTTGGTGATGCTTTGTGTTTGCTCCCACAGTTCAGAAGTAAATTGTGCCCTATGGTGTTTAAGGTCTTTTGGAAAACACTTTGGAGTTTTGTTGTGTTTTGTTTAGTGCTATAATTTCCTTCTGTCTTATCAACATAATCTTTGTCACTTGCAGAAGCTGTAGCCAAAAAACAAAAAAACACCTTGTTCCATTTTCTATTCTATTCTGAGCCCTATTGATGGAGGTGGGACCAGAACTCCTTATGTAAAGGTTTATTACTCATTTGTCTTGTATTTGCTACCATATCATTGTAAAGAAAAAAATAACACAATCAGCTATTTTTTCATTTTTTACTTCCAACTATTTTAGATTTTTTTACTTGATATATATACAGATATATATATATATAAAGAAAAAGCTATATTATATCTAGTTGTGTATTGGAACTTGTTTATGGGGGTTTTTTCCTTTGTTTTTACCCACTGGAAAATGAACAGTACAAGTCATGTATTTATAACCTTCATCCTTGGATAATATCATAACATGGAGGAGCAGCACTGCAGGATCTTATCCAATATTCATGATGTTGTTTCAGTCAAAGGTCTCTGTTGCTATGACATGGGAATTGACAAAAATCTTATCCAATTCTGTGGCTCTATTAACTGAATTGTTAGATAATCATCATAACACATCTGGAAGTCTCTCCTGACCTTAACTCAGTATGCAGTGCTGGCTGACATGAATTATGATTTATAAGGCCCAGGTGCAATGATTTATTGGAAAAACTGAGATTCTGACTAAAATGTTGTCCTATCTGTCAAATATTTACCACAGTATACTTGCCAGTATAATTTCATGCACGATTTCTGCATAATTTATTTTTATTCCCCTATAGAAAGCATTCCTTCTTATGTTTTAAAGACACTTCTCTCAGTTTCTCGCATTGCACCCAGCTTGAAGGACAAAAGCAAGGCAGATCCTGGGAGCACACTGTGAACTCATTATCCAGTAGCTCAAAGAAACCATATGCAGGCCTACTCAAACTAAGAAACTAACATTTTTCCCTTCAAAAAGACTGCAAAACAAGTATTTTGCCTATTTCATCTCTCTCTATATAAGTACCTTTCTGCAACATGGCATTAAAAATTTCAAGATGTTACAAAACAAGTCATGCAAGTGTAACGTGAGCTGTAAAAAAAAAATATGAGTTCTCAGCAGTGAAAATGAACCTGCAATCTTGTAATCAGTAGTACAATTTTCCTTAGGTAATTAAATTCCTTGGGGGCGGGGGTATGATGAAGGTTCCAAAAATATGTAATAAAAATATTAAATTAAATCTTCTAGATTTCAATATTTTCTGCTTTCAGATGTGGCTTGTTTCATCAAACTGTTATCTGTAGCTTAAATTACCAAGAAATGAGGAGTGCTGATGCACCAGGGAATTCATAAATGTTCATTTGCAAAAATGAAGTTTTGATCGATATGTTGGAATTGCAGAAACCGTCGTCGGTGGATCTGGGAACCTCAGCATCAAAGGGACTGGAATCGCAAGGTCTTTAATGGACTGACAACAAACTTTATTCAACCCACCCATTCTTCAGCACCCCCAGGGCCAGGGTGGATGGGGAGATGGAGATGGCAGATCCCAGCAGTGCCCCACTGCTTTCTGCGCAGGCACGGGGCTGTCGGGAGCTTTGATGGTACCACCAGCATGGGGACATAGGGATTCATTGCCTGGTGCCCGTGATGTGAGAGGCTTCAGGCTGCAGATGCTCATCACGGTTACAAAACCTTATCCTGCAGGTTCTGCCAAGAAGGGAGTATCCAAGTGAGGCCCTCGGAGCCACACAACCAAGGAGGCATCGTGACCCATTTCTAGACAGCCTGTGTGGCTCCCAGGGTGCACCTCCTTCCTGTGTAAAGCTGATTTTCTCCCAAGCAGAGAGGTTCGATCTGTGTTTGGTGTTGCCATCCTTGATTGTCCCTGCCCATCTCCCCATCATCAGTCACCGATGCCAAAGGAAGGACAGTGTTGCCAGTCGCGATTCCCAAATCAGAAATGTGACATGGTGGATTTTCCACACCATCACCTACACTGATGTTGGCCATTTACACAGTGATTTACGTGCCTTGTGATAAAGCGGCCCTTTAGTTGTGTGTGTGACATTTTTGGTGCCTGTATTTGTGCTTCTTTGTTCTGTGACAGGGAAGCTGATTGTTCCTGACATTTACACATCAAACGCTGTTTTCAACACATCGCGCCATAAAACATTTCAGCAGAGCTCCTGTGGGTGAAACATCTTGACGCTGTTGCAGGCTATAATCATTTTGTTGACATTAAGGGAGAGATCTGTGGGATAGCAAAACAACTTGAGTAATTGGATGGAGTGAGGTAAAACAATAATTTTGAAGGGAATTATCCATCTGATCCCCGGCACAGTTAACCCCCTACTGAAGTGTCAGCACTGCAAACGTGATTTTTGGCAACTCCTGCTGCCCAAGGAGAGGTGGTGCTTCAGTGGGGATGTTAGTCTGTGCTATTGCTTTCTCTGCTCCATTTTAATATCATGTTTATCCCCTGCAAAAGGAATTGATGTTCCTGTAGGCAGCTCAAATGAATGAGACAAACATGGCAGCGAAATTCAGCAATTGGGCAAATCCACCCTGTTTCTAAGACTGATTCTGACTCTTCCCAGCACAAACATTTCACCTCTTGATGTCCCAGCTGGGCATTTAGGACAGCAAGGAACAATCTGTGCTGGAAAACCCCAGAATGAAGAGGTGCAATAGATTGTACAGTATTCACAGGCGTCAGAAGCCTATGACAGGTACCCTTATGGGATTTACAATGTGCATAAGTATTCCACGTACCAGATTCACATGGCCTTTTAATAGTTGTTATTTTCTTAATTAAATTATTTATGTCAGGCCTTATTTCTATTCTAGAACATCTAAATCTGAAGCTGAAGTGTGAACATCTCTGCTGTAATACTCCAAAACTTGGCAAGTTGCAGCAGATTTACTAAATGTCACAAGCTAGGACAACAGAGAGTTTATTTTGATTTAGATTTCCTAATTGAGGAGACATCACTTTATCTCAAAAAATGTACCCAGAGTGGAAGTGCACCTATGTCCGGTGTGAATTTGGGGGAATAGAGCAAGGAGAGAGGGCTCAGGAAACACAAGACCCCAAATATCTCGAGAAGACAAAAAGGCAGTGATTTCCCACCTGAGGGACAAATAGGGAATGAAGTCCCAAAGTACTGAGACAAGGTTGGGAACACTGCAGGATTTGCCTCTTCATCTCCATCCTCATCTCAACCACAGAAGAGTTCAATGAAAGAAGCTGCTGGGAAAGAACTGGTTGGTGTAAGCCTGGTCCAAGAGGATTCCTGCACTTTTTTGACTATACAAGCTTTGACCTTACAGCAGTACAACTGTACCAGTATAACCTCTAAAGAGAATGGCAATTTCAAGGTAATACCACCTTAAAAATTGTTCAGCTAATTTCTCTTCTCATGCAGTCATGCCCTTATTAAATTAGCTGCAGCCATTCAAGGGGATTGAACCAATATCTTTGCAGCAACACAATTTTTCCGTAGACTCAGCATCTGAGCACGGTAGCATCAGTTCTCCATTAGCTGCTGTACTGCTCATCATCCATCAAAGATCTGGGAAAAAAACCTCACTTTTCTGCTCCACTGAACACTTGTCACTTTCCTGCACTCGATTTTGCAGAAGAAAACCAGGCACAGCTCGTGGTGCACCTAAACATCTCACAACTGGATACAAGCTTTGCCAAATTGTTTTTTTGTTGCACAGGAAAGAGTGAAAAGCAGGGGTAAACATAAATTATTTTGTTTCGGTGTTTTGAAAACAAGATGTTCCCATTTTTCAGTATGAATTGATGTTGCCTTTTGAAAACCAGAGGTGTGGGAGGGTTTTTTATTAGGAAAACTTGAAAAATAAATATAATAGTTCCTCTGATCTGAAACAAAACTATCAGCAATAGCTCAGTTCTGAGAACATTTTGATCTTTTTTTTTCTCTTTTTGTGAGGTTGACCAGTAAGATATTTCCTTTCTTTCATTCATTTTTCTCTCCCATCAGTGAAGTGCAGATTCCATTACATGGACACAACCAGCAGCAGCCCCAGCCAGGCTGCAGCCAGGCTCGTGTATGTGATCATCATCTCAGGGATCATCACTATGGGTAAAACAAAGCACAGCAGCTACCTCAAAGAATATAACAGCTAGTGAATTAGGAGGCACCAGGAAGGAGGAAAGGAGCATTTTCCCATTATCATTGCCTGTGTGGGGCAGCAGCCACCAGACATCAGCTCCTCTCTGGTGCAGAGGCATCCCCACAGATGCTGCTGCTTCATGGAGCTGCTCATGTTCACGTGCTCTGTGCACGTTAAACTAAGCCACCTTATTTTTATTTATTTATTTATTTATTTACACAAAATGGAGCAGTCAGGCCATGTGATTTAATTTTCTGAGCTGTTGTAATTTAGGGAGGACCCTGAAGGCAGAACCCCTGGGCGAGTGGATTCCATGCCCTGTTAGCCCCAGGAGCGTGGCCACCACAGTGCTTGGCCCATCATGAGCTGGCTCTCCCAAGCTGTGTCCTGTCTTGCATTTTGGCAAGTCCCAGATAAGAACCAGGAGTGGTGGGTGCTGCCCTCACTGCTCAGCAAAGCTGTGCTGCCCCTGGCCATGTGCCAGTCCCCCAACAAGCTGCTTTTTGTGCCTGAACTGTTGAATGTAAAACAAACCTCATTTCATACAAAGGATTTCTACATCCTTCAGATACGATTTTAAAAAAATATTTCAGGAATGTTGATGGGTGAATTCACACCAGGATTTTTTAAATAAATCAATTTTCTCCAAACACTGAAAAAAAAAGTGTTAACATTGGCAGAGCCCTCCATACAGCCTGTCTGCATTTTATAGTTCTCCACTTTCATAAAAGGAGCTGGTAGGTGACTATTTATATTTAACTGAACTACATTTATTTAGGTGAGAATTTAGTGTGTTTCATTGCCTAGTGATTTTATTGTAATATAGAGAGTAAGAGATACTCATTCTAAACTGCTCTACAAACTCTATTGAATCATTGCCATTTCCAGGAAGAAGCTCAGCAAATGGCTCATAAAACACATGAGCAGGGATGGGGAATCACCTTTCTCATCCAACACACAGAAAAGGTTTGTTAACTTTGGAAGTTCAAGAAAAGCAGGTGAGAGTTGGAAACACCTCCAGAGGCAGTCAGGCAGATCAGATTTTGGGGAGCATATAAATTTATGTTCATCCCCTCTGGTACAGCACAGCAGAATCAGCCACTGCTATAGCTTGCAAAAAAAAAAAAAAAGTATGGCTATTTTATTCAAGAGTGTGGTCAATTTTCAGTACATTGCAAGAAAAAAAAAGTTAGAAAACTGCTGAAACACTGGTTTTGCCGTTCAGTATACCCAAAACTAGCTTCATTTTTAAAGACACCATCTCTAGCATATCATTTTTTTCAAAATTTGGAAAAAATATGCAAACAAAATCTGAACCTGAAGTGATCTATCACTATCCTACCTTGCCCTTTATGTCACCTCAACTTTACTTTTTTTCAGGTTTTTCAGTTTGCAGAATATTTTAAAGATTTTTGGTTTTCATCCCATATACACAATAGGAAAAACACAGCTAAAATGTTGTGGAATTGAAAGCCTCCTTCCCACTCAACTCAGGCTAAAATCTTTAGGTCTCCAAGGGTAGGTTTTCTAATATATCATATTGAAGGTATCCCTGACCATGGCAGGGGGTAGAACTAGATTATCTGTAAGGTCCCCTCCAGCACAAACCCTTCTACCATGTGAAAATGTGTATGAGGAAGGTGGGAAGTTTCATCATCTCTCCCTGAAGTCTCCAACCTGGCAATTCTTTTGCATAACTGCACATACTATTCTGTATTCTATTATAAAGCACTTTTTAATACCCAACTATCCAAACACTTAACTCCAGATCACAAGCAAAGGGTCTCTCGTACCAGAGGCTCCTGAGCAACTTAGACCCAAAATCAATTGGACGAAAAGGAAGAGCACCTAGAAGCCCTTGCACATGGAAGGCATTTGTGGTTTCAATCACCATATAAGCTCTGTTACATTCACCACAGATTAAGCAGGAAGCAAAGTCTGATGTCTAAGCGGCAACACCTTAATCACTCCCCTTACAAGCAAGAGTTCAAAGCCATTAATACAGCAAGACAGCTGAACAATGCAACGGGAGGCTGTGAACACTGCAGAGGCTGCAAAACCTGACACAGAGGGAGTCTGGGTGTAATTACTTGC